GACAGCCCCTGGCGACACATGGGAAATCATGCAGCCGCGCCCTAGGCCTCCTTGCCCGATCTCTCCCTCCCGCCGCCGCCCGAGTTTACGCCGGCGAATCCCGGGCAGTGGGTTGTGAAGGCGGCGGCGGTGTCTTGTCCCTCGCTCGTGGTGGTGTCTCCATCTGGCATCGGCGACATGGACACTCCAGCGATACGGCGGCGCGGTGCGGCGGGATCCCGGTGGCGGATGTGGCGGCGGCGACAACGGCAGCGCGGCCTCCCACGGCGGAGGCGCACCTGTGGCGGTGGCCTGAACCTCGGATCTCGCCGGCCCCAGATGGGCTTAGGCGGGTAGACGGATCTAGTGCGCGGCGGCAGGCTGGCGCGATGGGCCTGACGTAACCGACTGTTGTGGCACCACAGTGCTGCTGTGGCACCATGGTGGTGCCGTGGCCAGTCAGGCGGTGGCTGGGTCCTTTTGGTCCGGTCCCTGGCGTAGAAGGTGGCGATCCATGCACAAAAAACTGGATGGAGTTTTTCGAACAGATCTGGGTGAAAACCTACTCTCAGCTAGATGCCAAGACTGGCAATGGTGGCGCTCTTCAGTGTCGCTCCATTCTTGGAGGCATCGCCGTGGAGAAGTTCTAGCCAACATCTGCTACATCCGAGGGAAACCCTAGATCATTAGATCAGAAAATGGCGGCGCTCTTGTGTCGTTTCCCTCTGGGGGCGTCGTTCTTGGAGGTGTGCACAGGCTCGAGGGACAATTGAACCGCAACTTTGGTGGAGCGGTGTTTCATCCTACACATTGATGATGACGGATCTCGACGGTGTGGCGCAGTGCAGATTTGGTGTCCGGTGTGCGGGGATGGACTCGCGCAGGAGGACGACGCTGTCTGGCGTCGTGGTGGCGTCGATGGGAGAGAGGCCTGACACGGTCGATGCATCAGTTTCCGCTCTGAAGATGGATCGATGAAAGACGGTGGTGTCAAGCCTTGCAAGGTGCGCATGTGGTGCCCGTTGTGAGTGCGCCGGACCGGTGTGTGCCTAGTCCCGGTATGTGGCTAGGCTGGGGCATTCGACGTTAGATGTCAGGCTTTGGTGCGATGTCTATTTGGTATTAGGCTCAGACATTCGGCACCCCTTCATCAAAGGGATAGGAGTAGCAACAGGTGTTGCCTGAATGGTGGCTTCAGAAGTATTACTTTGTAAGGTCTTTATGAATAATTAATAAAATGGTTGCATGCATGTTAGGGCTGCTGTCCACGGGTGGAGGCTGGCTCGTTTAGACACACCTCGACTACACGAGGAGGCCAAGACCAGCTTATAAGGAAGAGTATGCCTCCACCTTTCAGTCCGGCCTTTTGGCATGGAGTGGGCTCTCCGCTGAATGCTGGCCCATGGCCAAGTCAAGTAGCCTATGACCTTCATAGCAATCGCTATTTGCATTTTGATATTACCTATCCACGGATCACTCCAACTTTGTAGCCTCTTTGCCGCTGCCCTTGGTTTGGCATCTTGCACGACGTACGGGTACCCTCCGCCGGCACTCCATTCCAAACCTCCTCCATGGTTTCAGAGGAAAGCCCAATGTGCAGTGCTGCTCACATGTGCAAGAGTTTTGCGATGGAGTCAACCAGGGGCTAGCAGCAGTTTTATCTAGATCGAAGCGACAGACCCCTCATGCACAGAAAAAGCGAACGCGCCAAATAAGAGTCCTGGTTACCAACCCAAGGCGTAGCTCTCGCCTGGCCAAGGGCACGGGACGGGGATCAGCAGCATCAAAGCAGCAGGCGGTGTTAATCCGCAAGCTGTGCCTGGCACATGAAGGCGAGGTTATTTCGGGCGAAATCGTGCAGGCGTACATGGAGTTGTTCGAGCGCCCCTTGTCCGACTCGCACATTGCAGCCATCCTAGCGCTATTGGGCTGTGGCCATTCCATCCTTGCGATGATTGAGCATACAGGGGAGGTTGAGGAAAATAGAGGAAAATATATCACATATTTTGCATGTCATTAAGAGTTGTTTGATAGTACTAGTAGTACATGATTAAAATAATATGGTGCCGCCGCAACAGTTTGCCAGTTAAAATAGATGATGAAATCACCAAGAGAAGAACCAGATGTCTGGCCGATGCGTACAGATTGTCCAAATACAACGGTGCATACAAAGTTTGGTCACGACTCTCGTCCTAATTTGTTCATGCAGAAGGATCGAGAGGCTAGAGCAATGATTATGAGTACATCTTGACGTAGGTGCCAAGCGCGTTAACATATGAATTTGAACGCCCATGGAAGCCGATTATCTTTCCGCCCGCTGCAAGGAGCTCGAAGGCAGCACCCTGCTTCTCCCCATAAGGTCCAAAAGTGCGCCGGTTGCCGACAAAAGTGAGTGATTTCACAATGAGCCCGTGACCGGAATAGTCTACGTGCCCTTCCACGCCGGTGAGGTACTCGTCCGCCTCCAAACAAATCTAGTAGGCATACAAAACAACAAGATGAATCATCTTCATTATTGCGTACGTGCAAGTTTACCAGCTGTTACAAATATAAGATTATCTGAAAAAAGGCGACAAAAAAATGTACTGTAGGATATATACCTCTGAGGGTTCTCCTGCAGGGGAACCCCACTGCTCGGTCTCCTCCTCCCGGCCGTCCCGGTCGTACGACACCGACATGGCGTCCAACACATCGCTACGGTGCCACACAACCAGCTTAACGATATGGCAAACGCCGCGCACGTCCATGTCTTTCTCGTTGCCACCGCAGCCGCCGAAAGGGCCTATCTTCACAATCCCTCGTGGGAGGATGCCGGAGTCAGTTATGCTGATGGGGCACGTCTTCTCGTGTTCATCCTTCTCGTGGTAGAGCATCTTCCCGGCAGTGCACACATAGAAAGCGTTGGGGCAGGCAACACGGACGGATCGCAGGACGCGCTCGAGGGGCAAGCAGCGGCTGTACCGCGTGGGAATGGAGCAGCGGGTGTAGCCGGTTTTGATGAAGCACGAAGCGCATTTGTCCTTGTCCGGGAGGCTGTCGTGGCACGTCGAGCACAAGACATGCCCAGCTGCGCACTGCACCGGCCGCACGTTATAGATTCAAACAAGAGATCTTGCTTGAGACTAACATTATTAGTCCACTTGTAGCATGGACTAGTTAGTACCTGGAACACCGGAGGTACGAGGGGGCGAAGGCATCCGGGGCAATCGAGAGCCTCCGAGTCGACGTCGACGACGATCACCTTGGGGGCGGCAGAGCTGCTGCCGCCGTGAAGCTGCTGCTCCGGTTCGGCGATTGTCTTCTCCATCTGGCGATACAAGACTGGGGTATGGCTCTGGGTGGCAGGTCACATGGGAAGATGGAGCACATATACATAGGCTCCAGCTTCTTGTTGCAGGTTGTACCAAGCCACCAACCCGTACATGCATACCGCAATGCACTAATGGCATGCAGCTCACAGTCGGCGAGGCGCCTTGCTCCTTTTCGAGAAAATCACATTTATCATCAAGTTTGATATCCGGCATCTACTGCAAGCAGTCAACTTTCGTAGTACAAGTACTCCGGGCCAACTTACAAAATTCAAATTTAAACATGTAGAAGTATTCTGAAAACAAATCATGGCTGTTTACAACACATATGTCGACAACCGCTAAAAAATTCAGAATGGTAGCATTTGAAATGTTTACATTTCAATTTTGTAGGTTGGTAGCATGGTAGCATTTGAAGATTGGTATCACCTGATATTTTCTTAGGCACTCCTTGCAAACTTCCAGGGCCGGCCCTAGCATCTCGGAGGCCCTAGTGCGAAGATGGTACAATGGGCCCTACGGTCACACCTTACGTCTTCATGTTCGCTTCGCTGATGCACGTCGCAGCCGCAAGTCCGTTCAAACTATCCATATGACACAACAGTAATTTTAAACAAATATTTTATGATCTATCTAGAAGTAGCAATTTGAAATTCGAACAAAAACACAAACACCTTCCATACAAGAACAGTAGAGAAATGTCACAAGATAAATCCCAGCAACATCTAATCGTCATCGTCATGTGGTAATGTGGTGATGGTCGATCATCTTTAACATGAAACAATTACTTTGTGTGAGAATTTCATGCAAGAGAATCGTCACATAATTCGCAATAAACAAGAAAAGAAGGACAATCCATAGGATGAACAATTTACCTGTGGACCGGTGCTGGTGTCAACGCCTTAGCGGCAAGCCGAATGTGGTGCATCTTCAGCTCGTCGCCGGTGCCAAGGAGGTCACCACGAGGGCCTTGTCGCCGTGGGTACTTACAGAAGAACCTATCTACTATTCGATCTACTACTAGTATAAAACTCACTGGAAAATAAATTAAGGAGATGATATAACTGAAAATCTATTCATGAGCGTCGCTTGGGGCCCAACTCCTGGGAACTTGGTGCAATTAATTGGGAGAGGGAGAAGATTGGACGGGAAGAAGAACAAACCGGCGGCGCTGTCTCACACAAAACGAAGCAATTAGGATTAACTCTCATGGCTGGCTCCACCGTCCTTAATGGGCTGCGAGTGCTACCTTAGTTTATTTTTTCCCTTCAAATGTATCAATACATGTGCACAGAGAGTATGGTGGGCCCCTGGACATGCTGGGCCCTAGGCGGCTGCACTCCTCGCCATGGCTTAGGGCCGGCCCTGCAAACTTCTGTCTATACGGCATGTAGTGGCACCAATCTGTACATCTCTACTTTTATAAAAAAAACAGAGTTGACGATGATGGTATGCTTGCCATCCTGCAATATAGGCCGTCCGATTTATATCTGACGGATAGGAAGAAAACTATGTCAATTTTGCAAAAAGATACTCATATCTGTTTATACGGCATGTAGTGGCATTAATCTGTTCATCCTTTTCTCCCACAAGATAAACTACTCGTATACGATGTTCCGTGCAACGCACGGGCATCTTGCTAGTTATTTAAAAGTTTGAGTGAAAAGCAAACTGTGGGAATGCAACGTTGCTGTGTCAATCGAAAACAAAGAAGTTATTTTCGGATAATTGTCGAAACAATTTAGCTATATGTCAGGTGCTTGAAAAGAGATTTTTTCTGTCAGTCATTTTTTGTCCGTTCATTTCTGCTTTGAGATTCGTACTTCCTTTTTCCTTCCTGTTTTGGGGCTGGTTCTTTTTACTGGGTATATATTTGGGTCAGTCAATTCATTAATGGGCTAAAGCCCATTACCACTGTGACTCAGCCCTCCCCTCTATCCGATTATTTTTAATGTTTTTGTGTGTTTTTGCTTTTGTTCATTCTTTTCTTTTATTAGTCCGTTTGTGTGGGTATTTTGGGGATGTTGGGTGAGTGTAAATGTATATTCGCAAATAATACAAAATATATGTGAAAATTGCACTGCTATATGATTAATCTTTGCATACTATATAAAATATAATTTCAGTGAAAAAGTCATGTACTTTTATTATTACTTATTTATTTTAAAGTAAAATAACATGCCACTAATTCATTGTTCCTTATAAAACTTCATTGTTTTGATATTTTATCTAGTTATTATTTTATTTCCTTTCTTCTTGAAAGCTAATGCCAATGCCAATAATTCATTCCTCCTTAGTAACATTTTTTTTTGCAAAAAAACCATTGTTATATGCTTATTCTTGCATATTTTTTAAAGAGCATATTTTTGTGTATATTGTGTGGAAATTTTATCATTGCTTATTTTAGAATTTGTTTTTCATTTTATTTCTTCTTAAAGAGTAATACCAATGCCACTGATCATTCTTCCGTAGAAAACCTTCTTATTTTGATCTTGTTTTACCTTTTTTTCACTTTTCTTTTTTTCTTAAAGGGTAATACCAAAACCACTAATTTATTTTTTTAGAAAAGTTCATTAATTTGAATTGGTACTTATTTCATTTTCTTCTTCTTTAATCATAATAACAATGCTACTTCTTTGGTTCTACAATTTGCCAACATAATAATACTAATAAATAAATAATTAGCATAGGATGTCACGTCCGTGCGGATTCTTAATTTCACATAAGCAGGTGGGCCAATGCTGATGGTGTTGGTTTAAAACGGGCAAACTACGGGGTCACCGCGGGGCAACTCGAAGATTGATTTTACTCATAGGCTGACTTATCCAACCGTAGTCTGATAACGAGATACGCGCGGCTCCTATTGGGGTCTCGGCACGTCAGGAGGTCTTGCTTGATTTGTTTTACCTCAGTCCAATGTCTTGTGCACTGGAATTGTTTTTTATACCTGACGCTGACGAACACCAAGCAAGTATATGTGTAGTGAAAGATTGGAATTTCACACTGTCCAGAGTCTAGACAATGTCTTATACCTGACTGACTACATCGCTTGTTAAATTGGAGGGAAAGATTGCAATTTATGGTGAGACTGATGGTTTGCAGGATGATGGCAGGTTATATATTTTTCTTGAACTTTGTGACCACTTAGATTTCATCTTGTCTTGATGTTTAAATTTCTTTTCGCTTTGGCGCTTTTGCTGGTGATGTAACTTCATTGAGTGTGTGTGCGGGAAAATATCTGGTGCTCCGGGAGCACCTAAGCTCAGGTGCTCCCGTACGAGCCCGCTCGTTGAATCTCAGATCCAAGGGCTCCCATGAGATAATGAACATTTTTGCAAAATGTCCTCAAGAAGTCCAAAAAATGCGCACAAGTACATCAGCTACGACAGGTCCTTAAATACCGTTGGATCTTGGATCCAACGGCCCGGAAGCCCGTATCGTAGGAACACCGCTGTCCTGATATCACAGGATACTCTCCCGTGTTTGTGTGGTAGCCTGGAG